TTGCTTTTTTTTTTTCTTTTTGGTTGCAGAACTTGTACTACAGTTTCTTGGACTTTCCGCATTTTCTATGAGAAGGTGATAATTTTAGTCAAACTACTTTTACTAGTATCCTTTATCCCTTTACAATTGTGAAAGAATGAAACCAAAGCAATTGCGTTCATTCGACATCATTAATAATTAGGTGACATATTTTAACATTTATAACCATTTTTTCTCTATGATTTAGTCTCTTCTGGAATATGAAAAGCATAAGATACGAATTGGTGAGCTTCGACTTCCCATACCAACAGCCCCTGAAGCTTCTGGTGTTGATGCTGAGGTGAGTTTGCATATAATACAGTATTTCACATATCTCACTAACTTATTTAGTGGAAACTTTTGTATATATTGATCTAATAACTCTAGGAGATTTATAACCTATGACACAAAGCCAAGGATCACTTTAAAAACTATGTAAGGTAGGGAGGAGACTGGGATAGTAAATTTTTCATTTAGTTTGAGTATTAACTTATTATGCATAGAATTTTGATCTGTAATGTTGCAGCTCTGGAGCTGATTTAGAACTTCCTATGTACATAATTATGTTATACATGGAGATTGTATGACATAATTTGGAGATATTTAAGCACAGACTCGTCATCTGGCTTATCTTTTTAATGCGTGCAACATCTTCTTGATGGTAATTGATGTACAATTTATGTGACACTGCTCAAGTGTATAGAAAGAACGACCACCTCTGATAATCGTAATAACAGAGTAACAGTTTTGTTGGATAAAGTTCGCACTACAATTATACTCCTTATAAGAACTCTTCAGAATAATAAAGTAGGGTACACAAACAAATCTTAACAGATGATAAAGTTGTCTTGATAATTCACACCTTCATCACTTATCAATCAAAACGAGGTATGTGAGTTTATGTTTCCTCTACCAGTGGTTGTTTTTGCATCTATACTATTTTTGTGTTTGTGACTGATAGTTGGGGACAATGGGTTGGCTGTTGCTATGACTGTGTTTATATGTCAGCCTAAAGATCATAGCACAACATAAAATTTGAGTATATAAGTTTTCACAGGGAAGTGGTTATCAGGGTTCAGGATCTGGAAAGGCTAGAAAAGATGCTGCTGCTCGTGCTCAACGTGTTTCTGGTAGTGAGGTAGGTGAACCTATTATAAAGGTATGTCAGAGTTTACATTTTAAGATTGTTTTCCTATTTTTTCTTCTGTTTACATTTTTCTGGTCACGCTATTTTGTTAAACTTATTTTTATAGGACAAGAATCTGAGCAATACGGCCAAACGTGAGAAGATTATAAAAAGTATCGGTATGCCACTTGTTTTTCAGAATATTTTACATAAATGATCTTCAGATTAACCTCTTTCAAACTGTCAATAGGTCTGTGTCACTTGATTCATCATAGTGGCTTATCTTTATCTGATATTGTGTGTAGGCTCTCTCAAACAGAAACGACCAAATGAAGCAGAGCATAAACAGAAACGACCAAATGAAGCAGAGCATCCAAATAAAGTTGCCAGAAGTGGTACACCTAAGCAGTTAAGTCTTGTCACCAAATTTCTTTTGGTTCAGCTAGAAGTGTGACTGCTGTCTCATTTTTCTCTTTTGGAAGTGGCAAATGTCAGGTGTTATGACGTATGAGTGAAAAGATGTACCAAAATCTGTTGTATTCTTTGATTGAATGTTTTCCTCTTATCCGTCCAGCACGTCTGAAAAAAAAAAAAAAAAAAAATTGGGTCCTGATATTTGAAAACAAAATTGAAGGAAAAAGAAGAAAAGAAAAAGAAGATTTTGATATAGGTTGAGTCCCAATATTTGAAAGAAAAATTGGTTTAGTTTTGTGCAACGGATTTTTTCTGTACATGAGATTTGATTATCTTTTTTTTGTAAAATGATTATCGATTGTATCTAAAACCATTGTGATGCTATTGTCCATTTATTAGGCGATTCTGTGAGAGAATTACATTTTTTGAATTGCTATTTTCTGGTTTGTAGACTAGTGCAGTCAGTTGTTGATGCTGGGCCTCCAGCAGACTGGGTGAAGATTAATGTTCGCCAAACTGTACGTTTCCTTCAAGTTATCTGGTTCTGTCTTTCTCACTTGCAAATACATTTACATGTGCTATAGGAATTGACATTTGTTCATTTGGCATGTGCAGAAAGATTGTTTTGAGGTCTATGCTCTAGTTCCTGGGCTTTTACGTGAAGAGGTGTGCTCCCTTTTAACTTTTGTCCTAATGTATCCTTTCTTGCTTGACTTTCCAGTCTAAATTCGTACCTAGTGCCCACGTTAGTTTTTTAACCGATGGATCAACACACGCCCATGCGGGTATGTGTGAGTGTGTGTGATCTAACGGTAAGAAACCAGTTCTCATACCATTCCCACCCACCCTTCCCCTGCATCAAAGATATGAAAAAAGAAAAGCAAAATGGAAAGACATAAACGGCCTCCTCCTTTCTTTATCATTCTTACCATTATAATTTGAGAGAGAAATAGCATCGACTTTATGTTGTTTTGTGATTGGAACCTGATAACTGAATGTCATACTTTTTTCCATTCTTTGTTGACTAGTTTGAGGGTGTGAGGAATGAATTACTGAAAAAGCATATTTTAAAATTGGCGAGGACATCAATAGTCATATATTTAACGACATAGTAATTTTATTTTAAAATTCTCAATCATTCTATTGTGTTTTGTGTGACATGGTGAATGATGGGAACTAGAATTGGTTGTCAAGAAATTTGTCAACACACTCAAGTGCAGTTATGAAATTTCTTGATAAAGCAATACAATAATTTAATGTCCTGTCCATTTAAAAATTGTTTTTTGACTTTTTGTGTGCATCGCTACATTTTCTCACATGTGCAACCTTGAACATGAACAAAACTATGCGTAACTTGACCGGTAGGGCTACCGTTAGGCAGGGGTAACTGTTAGATAGTTATACATTTTTTACAAAGACACATACTCTTAGGTATAAACAAAAGTATGACATTTCACAGATAAGTATGCATTTTTTTTTTTTTTACAAAAAGTATGACAAATCGACACGAGAATATTTGTAAATCAATAATCTTGTTTGAGATTTGCAAATTGAGACAAGACAACATGTGATTTCGTATGCTGTGATTGGTGACTCAGGTACGCGTTCAATCTGATCCTGATGGACGTGTAGTTATAACAGGTCAGCCTGAGCAAATCGATAATCCTTGGGGGATTATGCCGTTTAAAAAGGTACCTTAACCTTTTCTCGCTTTGAATAATATACAATCACCAAAATACTTGGGCAAATTATCACTAATCTCTTTTTTCCAATATGCTAAACTTTTATGATAAAGGGTTCAAGAGTCTCTTTAGAAAATGAGTTCAAGTTTGTAGACGTGGATAAACAAGGTGCCGGAAATTTTATTCGAGTGATTTATTTATTTTCAGGTGATAACCTTACCGGGAAAAATCGACACACTTCAGACTTCAGCCGTGGTTAGCCTGCATGGACGTCTCTTTGTCCGGGCTCCTTTCGAGCAGTCTAAATAAATAAAATTTGTAGGCACACCTCTTTCAAATTGGAATATATTTTGGAAGGAAATTTTAATGAGTCTTGTGAATGTTCAAGCTTCTACTAATATTTTTTATTTATTTATTTTTTTTTATATTTTTGGAGGTTTGAAGCTCTTCCTAAGTTTGTTATTTAGTGAAAAACACTGGAGGTTTTTCTTTAGATTTTTGGTTTAATTATTTATTTCTTTTAGAGAGGGAAGTTGAATTTTCTCAAGTTATCAAATCATCCATGAATATAAAAATGAAGAAAAAAATAGTAATGACGTGCTAACTCTGCTGCTGAAAAATTGAAGTCTTCTTGACAATCATAAATAAAAAAAAAAAAAAAAAATGCTGAAAAGTCATTTTAGATAATAATAAATATAAAGAATGCTTATAGCCGATCTATACATATATTAGTCTAACTAGAGTCTAACCAATATAAAGAAGACTGCATAAATCATATCTAGGCTATGTTCAGTAAAACTTAGTTTATTGCTTTTAAGTAATTTCGAGCTTATAGCTGATAACTTATGATTTACGACTAGTTTGTATTGTAAAATTGTTTGGTAAAATTAGTTGATAAGTAAGCTAGCCGATTTAAAACTTTCTATGAGTTTATTTGAAAAGCTACCCAAATAAGTTTATAAAATAAACTCGAGCATTTTAGAAAAGCTCGTATCACCGAATCAAACTTAACTGAATACGAGAAACTTATAAGTTAATCAAATAAATTATAGGCTAACTTATATGCCTACCAAACGCTGCATAGTATTAGCAAGAGCAAGACACATATGGTGCACACATTTTGTGAGTAAAAAAGTTATACAAAAATCCCAAGTGAACAAGATATTCGTAGGGGCTCATTGTCCCATGATATCAAATTTATAGATTATGGAAAAAAATTTAATTAGAAAAAAATTATCTATTTTTCTTGAAGAAAACATGATTCAATCATTCTTGTGTGATGTAGTTGCTTACAACAGTAATAATTATATATATATATATGCTCTTGTAATCTCATAAAGATATGCTTTAACATTAATTTGATTAAAAATATATTAATTATTAGTAATAGGAATTAACTAGTATTTCTCTTAATTGCGTAAAATACTTAAAAATCAGGCAGGAATAATACATGGCACACGCGAGTCATCTTGTTTTGGCTTCTTCAATTCTTTCATGGCTTGGCACTGAGCACACGCAGAACGCATGCTTGCTGGCTGTATTGTAAATTTAAATAATAAGACAAAAATAGCTAATAAAATCCCACCAAAAGCAATAATTTATGTGGCCGATCCATGCAATTAGATGTGGTTTGGTTCGGTTTTTTTAGGGTGCAAAAAATTGGTTCGGATGCATTTCCTTTTTTTTATACAATGCCGTAAGTTTCAATTATTATTTTTTATACATTCATTTTTTCTTTCAATTTTTTTTTTTCAATTTCTTTACACCGAAATGCACCAAATGAAATATAAATGTATCAAAAATCAAATCGATACAAAACCAAAAATCGAGCCACACCATGCATTTCGTGGTTTGATTCAACTATTCTAGAGTAGAAATTTTTGGTTCCATTGCCGTGTTATTTTTTATCTGATGTCATACAATTTGTTTATTTTATTTTATTTTATTTTATTTTATTTTATTTGTGATTGTGCATCAAAGTGTACCGTTTCTCACAAAAGCAAATCCCTTTTGATACGCCGACACAGATGAATAGATATGTCATTTCTTGAAATCTCTCTTTTCATTCCAATAGTGATGCAAAGTATCCAGTCGTATAATAAATGACCCCTCTCTGCACAGGTTACAAAATTTATTTCACGTAAATTCTATAAAAATTGGGGCAATAAAGATTATGGGACATGAAGACAAAATTGAAGTAATTTCTAGAAGCCATAAAGCTTATGGGATAGTTTATGAGACAAAATTGAAGTAATTTCTACCAAAGTGAAACGATAAAGCTTATGGGCACTGTTTTCTATATTCTAAACATTGTTAGACTTTTTTTACTTATTTGGTTTTAAAAAAATATGTACCGATACACTCTACGATTTTTTCATTAGCTATAATATTTACATATAAATAATAATATATATGGTATTAATTTCTATTTATAAATTTTATTTATATTGTTCTATGTGGAGTAAAAATAAATATTTCATCATCTTTTAATTTTAAAATATTATAAAATTGCAAAAAAATTGGACATATATATAAGTATGTTTATATCAACCATGAATTTTATCCAGAAATTGTGAAAATACTAACAAAATATTTTCAAAATATTTGTCATATTTTAGAAGTACTTTCAAATACTTATAAAATATTTTGAGATAACTATTTTATAGAAGAAAAAAAAGAACATTCTATTAAAGTGGGAGTAATAAATTTAAATATTATGGTATCTCTTTAATTATTTTTATGATTTGCAGTAGTTTCAAATAATACGATATTTTTTAAATTAATTTTTGACATTGAAATAAAAAAATAAAAATGAATGCAATTTTAAAATAGACACTAAAATTAGTAAATTAATGTTGAATATTGAAAAATAGCACTAACTGTTGTAATATGGAGAATTTATATCTCTGCCACACGTTTTGTTTTTAATTGCATCTATACTACTTATATAAAATATATTGCATTAATACCTAACTCTACCAAAATAATTAGTATTAGCATAAAAAAAACGGTCATATTCCCTTAATTTGTGTAACTGATGAGATTACATTTGCCATGATTTTTGGTTACCAAAATTAATAATTGTCTTTCCCCATAAATAGGGCAACTGATATAATAATTGTCAAAGAGACCTTCCTAAAATCACGCACATATATGAATTCGCTGGAAAAGAAAAAAAGGTAAGTGAATATAAACTATTTTTTATGAATTTGTTGTTATTAGCATGGAAAGAAAATAATTTAAATTTTAAACGTACTCCCTCTCTCTCTCTTAAAATAAATAAAAACACGATTAAGAAAGATAAAGTATATACACGATCACCACTTATGTATATTTTAAGTATATTTTATGTATATGTGGGATATGAATGAGATCCGCAGTTCAGGAATCGAGTGTATATCTTAGGTATATTTTATGTATATGTGGGTTTTGAAATCGATTTTGATAAACGATTTAAACTCTATTGTATTATTAAAGTATATTTTATGTATATGTGTGTCTCGATCTGTCGTTGGCTTGAATTACGAGAATCTCGAGTGTATATTTCATGTATATTTTATGTATATGTGTGTTGTACAACTTTGGTATATATTTTATATACCCGCAACATATGCTCGCAACATGTAAATTTTCATATTTGATTGTAACATATATATATATATATATATTATATCATGTACAAAATTTTAATGCACGAAAAAAACACCAAGTTATTCGTCGAAAAATAGATTCAGGCACACTGGTGGGGTCTCTACGCGGTCAATTTTCTTGTTCTTGGACGATTTCTTGAGAAGGGCCACAGTGGTGGGATTTTTTGGATGCTACATTACTCGGACGGAAACATATACTGAAATATACGTTATATACCTGTTACATATACAAAATCTCGGTCTGCTTGTGCGTGTGACGAACAGGGACAAAGGGCTGCTTCTTGGTCTATTCGAGGGGATTGCGTGGGTTACTTCGAGGCGTGACTCTCGGCGATGGCAGAAAAGGAGGCGTGCGATGCTGGGCTAAGGCGTGGCTGTTTGCGGTTGCTGGAGGTGGTTCGACGACTGACGGATTCGTGAAGGGTGAATTGTAGGAGAAGAGGAAAATTAAAGAGGAAGAACTATAGAAGAGAAAAAATAAAATAAACGACGAAGTGTAGAAGAAGGAGAGAGAGAGAGAGATGGAAAGTGCTTGGATATTAAATCCCATTAAATTAGGTAACTAATCCCAATAAATGTGCTGGGATATTAAATCCTATTAAGTCAGTTAATGTGGTATTTGTGCAAATAAAATCACTAGATTATGCTAATATGTTAATATTTACGAAGTTGTTATATTTATGTAATAAAAAAACAAAGTGATTGTACATGGTGCAATTTCCTCATAAGACATAATAAAAGCAACTGGATGAAAGTAAGAGACAGACATAAAGCAGGATTCAAAAAGCAAATAGGCAATTGTTGGTCTACCAGAATTTGGCAAGATCCTTTGCTTCCAGGTGCAGAAGCAAATTCAAATATTATGGAAGGAAGATACTATCAACAAGTTTTTTAATGAGCAGAACAGAGCAAAAATTCAGAGTCTCAAACATCTTGATCCTACAGCCAATGATAAGTGGATTTGGACCTTTGATCAGTCTTTTTTCTGTAGCCAATGCATATTCACATTTAATGCAGGAGAAACTGAGAAAAATGGATTGGCTAAAAGTAGCTCAGGATCAAATATTAATAGAAAGGTAAGACTCGAGAAAAATTCAAAACTAGTCCCACAGGTATAGGGGGTGACAATTTTGGTCCCAACGAAATGCAAAAAAAAAAAAAATAAAAAAATAGTCCCACAACTTTTAAAAAATGATCAAAAGTAGGGCTTTTTGCCGGATTTTACTGTTTCCGGCCCGGAATGCCACGTGGCGCACACGTGGCATATTTTGTTGCATATTTTATGCATACTTGTGGGATAAAAATGTCACATTCCTATACCTGTGGGACTAGTTTTGATTTTTTTCATATCCACGTCGGATGCCAGCGTGTAAAAAATATATGCCACGTGTGCGCCACGTGGCATTCCGGGCCAAAAACAGTAAAATCCGGCAAAAAGTCATACTTTTGATCATTTTTTAAAAGTTGTGGGACTATTTATATTTTTTGCATTACGTTGGGACAAAAAATGTCACACCCCTATACCTGTGGGACTAGTTTTGAATTTTTCCCCGGTAAGACTCAGAAACTGGAAGTTAAATGTGAAGTGGAAGCTCAAGCATTTTCTCTGGAGGTGCTACACAAATACATTACCAGTAGGAGTAAATTTAAATAGAAGAG